TGGCCGAGCCCGTTGTCCTGGGGGCTGGAGGGGAAGTCGGTTGGGTGAAGTCTGTCCCTCTACGGCTCGGGGCTGGGCTGGCATCGAATGTTCAGGTCCACAACTAGAGCTGGGATGGTTAAATATTCACCTTCAGGTGTCTCCCATGTTTCAAGAGCAGGTAGGATGATGATTCTTCTGCCGGAGCAAAAACTCACCGTGTTTTCTGTCTCTCCTGTAGGTGCAGGTAGCTGTCTGGAGACTCTAGAAAAAGGAAAACCACTAATAGTAGTAATAAACGAAAAGCTGATGAACAACCATCAACTTGAACTGGCAAAACAGCTCCACAGAGATGGGCACGTCCTCCACTGTAACTGCAGGTATGGAGCTGCTGTGGCTGGCCTGACTGAACAAGCAGTGTTCAGCCCCATCACTCTCTGATACTGCAGTATTGAGGATGTGACAAGGCCATTTACATCCTTCTCTGTCAGGACCATTTGTTTGCAAGGTGATTTTCCCTAGTGAATAGATTAACATTAGGTGCTAATTTACTAAACTTTTACCAAGCCTTTTGACATTGACTCCTTTTAATTTTTTTTTGAAGGCACATGTATTCAGCTTGAAAGAAGAGCTATTTAAACCAAATAGAAGTGGTTGAATTTGGAACAGTCAGGTAGCGTTCTAGAGGTACTTAACAGCTTCTCTCTTTCTCTGCTCTTTTTTAAGTCTAGAAATAATACAACTCAGACCATCAGTTTGTAACCATGAGCCGTAAGGAGTGAATTGCTCCCTGCAGACTTAGGACTCCATTTAATCATTTTGATGTATGGATTTTCCTTGTAAAGGGCACTAAAATTGAATGTATAGATGTACTGACAGAATAAAATTGAAAGTATCTGGAATGTTTTGAACAAAACATAAGAATGGCCTTACTGCCATGGATCAGGAGTCTACATAGCTCAATATCCTATTTGCAGTGGCCACATGCAAGTGCCCAGCCAAAAGAAGAGACAGGGCAAGAACAGAGAATCATAGAATGGTTTGGGTTGCAAGGGACCCCTAGAGGTCACCCAGCCCAACCCCCCTGCAGAAGCAGGGACACCTTTAACCAGATCAGGTTGCTCACAGCCCCGTCCAACCTGGCCTTGAATGTTTCCAGGGATGGGGCCTCCACCACCTCTCTGGGCAACCCATTCCAGTGTTTCACTACCCTCACTGTAAAGAATTTCTTACTCATATCCAGTCTAAACCTACCCTGCTTCAGTTTAAAACCATCACCTGTTGTCCTGTCACAGCTGTCCTGTCTTTCCTATAGGCCCCCTTTAAGTACTGGAAGGCCACAATCAGGTCTCCCCGCAGCCTTCTCTTCTCCAGGCTGAACAGCCCCAACTCTCCCAGCCTGTCCTTGTAAGAGAGGTGCTCCAGCCCTTGGATCATTTTAGTAGCCCTCCTCTGGACCCGCTCCAACAGTTCCATGGCCTTCTTGTGCTGAGGGCTCCAGAACTGGACAAACATAGGGTACTTCCTTGTATCACTTTCCCACTAATGCTCTTAAGTAGTTTGATTCAGGGGGATTCCTAAAGCAGATGCTGTCTGGTTAGTAACTTTCAGTATCTCTGTCTCTGAAGTGCTTATTCAGGCTGTCCTTTTAACCAAACTTCCTGAATCTGCCACATCCTGTGACAAGGAGTTTCGCAGATCTACTGCTGGTCACTTACAGGGGAAAAAAAAACCCGAAACCAAATACCAAACAACCAGCCAAACAATCTCCCCCCCAAAAACCCAAGAGCAACAAAACCCCATCTCCTTTTGTTGCTGTTCATCCTGGCTCCTGTTAGTTTCATTTGCTCTCTTTGTTTTGACTGTGTCTTACTGTTTTTTATTTATGATTACTTAAGATTGATTGCACTCTGTAAATAACAGATGACCTCTAAATTGAAGGCAGAGGAAATGCAACTCCCATTATTTAGTCTGCATCTTGTTCCTTTGCCCTGCAAATGGGATTTTGTACGTTTTGGAAGAGCCTTTTGAAAAAGCTAGGCCTGTCATTCATTTATATTGGGCAAGTTTCTTAAACTCACTATCTCGGTGCTTCTGACGGCTTCAGAGACAGGAAGGAATTTTTATCTCTTTCTGTTGAACAGTGCCTAGCATTTGAGCCTTATTTGCAGTCTGACCATAGCAAGCTAACAGATTGATTAAGCTGTTCTTTCTGGCTGTGTGTTCAGTGGAGAACTATGCTATGTGTCCAAATAGGATGAATTTCCTGGTACAGTTTATGGTGAAGATCCTCAGATCTTGTTCAGTCTCCCAGCATTGCAACCACAGAAGATCAAAAAGTTAAGAGCTGAGGTTGTGAAAGCTGTGGTATAGGTCGCAGTGTGGTCTCAGCAATGCTGCCTGTGAGCCAGCGATGGCTGGGGCCTGCTGGTTTGTGGGGTCTCTTCTTCCTTTCAATACGTGTCCTTATTTTTGCTTCTGTGCTAAAGGATTATGTATGTATGATTAGAAAGAAAATTGTGTGAAGAAAAAAATTTTACCTTTGGGATGCAATTTTTTTTTTTTTTTTAATTTTTGGTTTTGGTCTGTTTTTACAGCACTCTTGTGGAGACACTGCAGTCGATGGACTTGTCAACTTTGAAACCTTTCCTTCCTGGACAGCCAGAAAAGTTTGCTTTGTTCTTGGATAAAGTTGTTGGGTTTCAATAAACAATACAGAGGAACAAAAACGTCAGAATAAAACCTTTCTTCTTTCCTAGTGAGGCCTTCAGTACCTAAGAGCCACCAACTGGGACAAACTCTCAAAGAAAATGTTAATATTAACTGACATTAAGCAGCTTCCTATTCAGTGCCAGTTTAAAGCCATCTAGCTTTATGCTTAAAAGAACACTGTGCCAACAAGGGGGAGGGGAGGAGTATGAACTCTAGTTTCTTGGACAGACTGATTATTTACATCACAAAATCTGCACTGAGTTGGTAATTCCAGTGAGGAGGACAAGCTGAATTACTTAACAGACACAGCATATACATAGTGGTCTCTTGACTGAATTTGCCTATTACTAGAGGAAAGAAGTTGTCCTTGTTGATGTTCCTGTGATGATCTGCAAACAGGCAGATGCCTCCAGCTCTCATTTCATGTGTTTACAGAATCACTGACAAGAGAATTTAAAAAGCAAGAGATTAAGCCTCTTTTAAAGGGAAAGGGGCCTATGGTGAATCTGGGTGGGAAAAGTCAAGAGCTGCAAACCTGCTGCCAAACTGTCCACCGACTGACTTGCCTGGTTTTGGGTGATTTACTCCCAAAGCAAAACATGGCCTGTAGGAGAGGAATGGGGTTGACGATACAGTCAATCCATTTACGCGGTGTTATCCCCTCATTACCTGGTTTGGACTTCTGTACAGTGCAATGTTTCCTATTCAATGCCGATTGGAGCTCCCCAATTAAACTTGAAATTGTCAACTGTGTTGATGCTACCATCAATTTAAGTAAATATTTTGAAAAGGGGGTTTAAACTTAAAAGTGTTCATGAAGGCTATTTGGTCTGTAATACTCTAGAATTGTGTAAGTGCGTAGTTGGTGCTAATTCCTGCAAGTACATTATTTGTTGGGGGGGTTTTGTTGCTGTTGCTTAAGACAAGAAAAAGAAACTCCTGAATCGGTGCATCTGATGTCCAGGTGCAATTTTTACTAGCAAGTTAAATGTACATAGAGGCACTCTCCAAATCAAGCACAAGGGCTATACGTGGACTAAATCGTGCAAGAGTGATTTTTGCTCACCCCCGAAGTTTTCCCCAAATTCTTTATTAGGAGCAACTATGATTTTCACTTCTGTAACGACTTTTGTTACCTTCAAGTTTACTGCTAGCAGCTTACCTCCAGTTCGAGAGCACGCGGGAAGGTCACAGGAGATTTTGCATAACCATTTGGCTGGTTTTCCCACTCGTTATCTGTAGTCACGGGCACATCAAGCCATGAAGTTGGAGGCAGCTTAGCGAGGACTCCCTTCCCTTCCCGAGGCAGGTCCGGGAGGAGACGACGCCTGCTGGGGCTTAACCGCGGCTTGGCGCGCACAGCCACGCCGGGGGCTGGAGGGGAACGACCCCGGCGGTGGTTACGCGGGAGAGCGGGACAGGTATCATAGAATGTTTTGGGTTGGAAGGGACCCCTAGAGGTCATCTAGTATTTGGGGCTCTCAGCGGGCATCTTAAAATGGCTGCTGCCAGGAGGGACCCCGGGAGGGCACCGCTCGCAGGCAAAGGGCGCCGGGGCAGGGGCGAGGCAGGCTTGGGGGCGCGCTCCGGTAGCGGCGGTGCCCGGCGGCGAGAAGGGGCGGCC